CCTCGCACTACGTATCATAACAAGGGTGCGGTGCTTCCAGACCGTCAACACCAAGCGGCTCGACTCCGACCAAGACGTCGACATCGAAACCCGTTCGGCAATTTCTTCACGAAATGGCTGGCCGAGCGCTGCGACGCTTCCTTTCCCTATACAAGTGTGGATGCCATGAGAAGGGACACTCTAACAAATCCTATCATTGATTTAAAGATGTGTTAAAAATGTGTGAAACATGTGCTAAACACGTTTCGAACATGCTTTTTAAACAGATTTAAAACATGTTTGAAACATGTTTTAAACATATGGAAAGTATTTGGCAGCATGCCTCCTCTCCATTTATCGACTTCCACAACCATACAAGATTAGCGCCTGCTGTCTCGGGACGCGCTGGCACACCCACAAAGCCTGCGTCCAGCGTGGCTGCCCGGAGCCCATCATCCGGCACCTCCTCGAGGAGCACCCGAAGAATGATCTCGAGTGCAACAGTGCGAGGGCAACGTCAAATTTTCTGCCCACGTTCTGGACCTTCTCAGAGGCCGCCTAGATTGGGTCCGAGTAGCTGGGGTCGGAGGATCGCGCCGCATCGGCGATGTATCGGCGATATATCGGCGATGCAGCGGCGACGTCGGCGATGCATCGGCGACGCCGTCGTGGAGAAAACATCGGGCTCCACATCGAGCCGCATCGCCGATGTATCGCCGATGCGGCGCGGTCCCCCGACCCCATCTACTCCGCCCCCATCTGGGAGGCCTAGAGCTCTGGCCCTCGCTCCCGCGCGTGACCTCGAAGAGAGGCTGGGCAACTTTTGCGGTTGACCCATCAGCGTAGCACGCACGCGCTCTCCTCCGCGCTGCTGTCCACACAATTGCCCTCGGCACGTCACAGCATACTGTCGACGGCCCACGGAGCGAACGTCCACCCGTGGGATTAGGACGTTGATCTACTAGTGTTTCTACCCCTGCGTTTCGTGTGTCGCACCCAACACTTCATCAGGAGGATGAAGATGAGGGACAGCTGAATGAGCGGAGACGACGACAGGTATGATATCAGATGTGGAGGAAAATGGTGATGCAGGGGGAGATGAGGAGCAGGAGAGGGAGGAGGGGAGGGGGGAATGAGGAGAAGGACGAGGAGGGTGGGGAGGAGAAGGAGGAGTATGAGGATAATATCAGTGCGGAGGGTGTAGAGAAGGATGATGAGAACCATGGGGGGCGGGAGGAGCAGGATAAAAAGCAGGATCAGAAGGAACATGCTGATTAGGAGCACAACAGGGCGGTTGAGGAGACAGGAAGACGAAGAGGAGAATGCTGAGAAAGAACAGGAGGATTCAGGAGCAAGCCCATCAGGAGGGTGGGGTCAGGCTGAGGATGAGGACGATGAGAAGACGAACGTAATAATCGAGCACGATGAAGAACAGGAGGGGGAGGCAGAGGGGGAGACAAAGGAGGAGCAGGATAATGATGATGATGATGAGGAGGAGGAGGAGGAGGAGAAGGATCGATCGATCGAGCTCTCGGGCCGGTTCGGTGCTGCACTATCGCTGCGCTCTGTGCTGCTTAATAAAGTTGTGTGGCCTAGCTGAGGTCGCTTTTCTGAAAGGGGGTCGCGGGCGTCACTGAGACGCTCGGGCCCTACCTGCACCGTCCTCCCCCACGCAGGGGTCTGCGGGCAGGGTAGCACCCGCTATCGGGTGCCCTCTCGCTGGTTCCTCTACTGCCCCGTCTTCTCAGCCCTTCGGGTGGGAGCGGGGAGGTCGGTGCAATACAAATTAGTCAGGGAAGCTCGGGTCTCGGAGTGGGAGGAGGTCTCGGACGGAGGCGGAGGAGGAGGGCGTCCTTCCCTGACCAGCTCATGGAATCGTGCGCTGGTGCGTAAAAACGGGGTGGCCTGATGGGCCGCGCTCGCTGGGGCAGGACAGAGCCGCGCCGTCCGCTCACGCACATCATATTGTGCTGCTCCTCTCTCCGTGTCGTTCTGGCGAGACGTCCCAGTTCTCGTTCTCCGCGCGGCACCGCCCCGATCTTGCGGCTCGTCTCCAGCTGCGTGTCCATTTACTTCGCCTGGAACTGAAGCCTGCACTTCTCCGTGATGCCCCCTCCTTTGCCCTTGTTCTTGTGTGCGAGGAAGATTGGGATGCTGTCTGCTCTCTTCTCTGCCCTGCCACTCGATGACGTCCTTGTAGTATTTCTCGAGGTAGTCGCGCTCCGCTCCTGCGTCGGACATGCGCCCCGTGTAGTTCGCCATTTCGGTCCATACGTAGGTGTGGGGGCTGTCGTGCGAAGCCGCGTCCACTTGTTCTCCCAGCTCCTGGCCAGGTGTTTCCAGGCTGTCTCTGCGCTCGATGTTGAACGTCGCCCTGTGGTATCGTTGTTCTCCGTGGTCCCAGTGATCCTGCGAGTTGTTGCCGTTGGTCGTGTCCGCGTAAGTCACTTGCAGCTGGCGAACTCCTTGTACATGTCCTTCATGGTGGACGTGTGGTTGTAGCTTGCGTTGTTCTTCGGCTCGTGAAGCACTGGTAGTAATTGATAGCAAAGCGGCCTTCGGTAACTTTTTTACGTGTTCTCCGTCTTCTGCTTGAAGTCCCAGGCCGTGTCGTTGGCGTGGTTGGTGTTCCGCCTTCGGTGGGCGTAGTAGTAGTCGCCATATCTCTGTTGGTGTCGCCGTTGGTGGCGCTGCTCGTCGTAGGTGTACTTGTTTGTGGCCTTTGGCGATCTCGTTGTAGTCTTCTTCTATATTATTCCAAGTTGTTCTCGTAATATTCCTTCTCCGCGGCGTTGTGTGGGATGGCCTCCAGGTGCTGGGCGTTCTGCTCGGCGCCTCCCCTGCCGCCTGATCCCCCTGGAAGTCGCCAAGAATCAAGCCATTCCTGCTTCGTGAAGTTTGCCGTAGTAACCGTCCAGAAGTCCCTCTTTCGTGGTTCGTATCTTCCTCCTGCTCGTGATAGTTCTTCGACTCGTTGCTCTGCGCGTTGCCGTTGTGCTCGTCGCCGTTGTCGTTGGCGTGTCTTCGTGATGTCGTGCAGCTTTTTCCCGTTCTCGCGCATCTCCATGATCGGCCTCAGGATGGCGCCCATCGCGCTCTGGAGCATCTGGTACTCGTTGGGCGTGGGCAAGTAGCGCTCGATGCACGAAAGCCCCGTGTTGATGACCCTGCATATGAGGACCGCGCGCTTCCGCTTGTAGGGTATCTCTCGCTTGGTCCAGAACCTGCCGCGCTCGTAGTAGCTCTTCTTCATGGCCTGGATGCGCTTCTGCAACTCTGGGTAGTAGCTCTGCGTCGATGTTACTTGAGGGCCCAGATGTTTGTCTGTGGCGTGTGGATTGCCCTCCGACTCTGTCTCTTCCTGGGACCTGGGTGGGTCAACCGTCCCTGGCAGGTCCCTGGGTTCGAGCTCGTCCGTGCAGAACGGGGGGGGGGGCGACGATTCGGCCGCAGGCGTGCGATTAGCCTCTCGGTGTACTTCGTGAGCCTCTCGCGGTAGTCCGTCGGTTTCGGCGCCTGGCAGTAGTACTTCTGCGCTGTCTCTACGGGGATGGTGCTGTTGTCCGTGATGAGCTGATCGACTCCCTTTCCTGTTTGGTCCGCTGTCCTCTGCTCTACCTTCTCGTTGGCTTCTCCTCTGTGTCGTCCGTGTCGTGCTGCGAGCGCGAGGCTGTCCTTTTTCCGTCTCGTTGGCTGAGGTCGCTGTCGTATTTGTTGTCGTAGCGGGGGTCCTTGAGATGTCATCGTCTCGGTCATGCTCTTCGGTATCATGATGTACCTCGCGTTCTTCTCTCCGATATGGCGGTCGGCGTAGGTGCGAGTCTTCTGTCCCGCACCGTCTGGTAGTCGTTCGGGCGATCCGCCTTCTTCGAGCGCTGGATCTGCTGCTCTGCGTCGTAAGTCCTGCGCGTCGTCGTTGTACGTCTGGCCCGCCTGTAAGCCCGCCTGCGCAATGCCGCTCTGCGCGTTGATCTCCCACGTCTGGATGACGGCCGACGCCAGCTCGGCCTGCTCGCGCGCCAGCGTGAGGGTGAGGCGTGCCTTGAGGTCTGATTATGGTCGTCCTCCTTTCTGTGTGATGCCGCTGCCATCGTTGAGGTCGCCCTCGACGATGCTTCTGTTTGCTGGTTTCTTCTATCCAATTGAATCCTCTGCTCGTCTTAGCGTAGTACTGTGGCGGTCTGTAGTATCCTATGATCAGCAGCGTCTGGTCGTGATGCAAGGTGTTCGCAAGCCCTCTTCCACTGAGCTGCGGTTCCTGGATGTCGATGACGGTGCCCGTGCTGCGGTTGATTTCTTCCCTTGGTTGCCCGCCCGTGTCGTAATATCTTGTGTTGCCGCGGCGGTGTTGCGTATGTCGTCTGCGTGATGTCCCCTCGATGATGTCGAAATTGTTGTTCTCCCCGTATCTCACCGCGAGCCTGTCGGGCTTAGCCGAGAACTGGCAGAAGAGGAGCACAGCGAGAGAGGCTGAGTGTGCTGCCATCATGCGGGCCGCCGCCCCTTCTGTCTGCTCGGTCCGAGGAATCGCATGGTGGCGGTTTGGGCTGCCCTGACAATATCTTAGGCCCAGATGGCAGCTTGTCAGTGCAGTTCTTGGAGGAGAAGGAGGAGGAGGAGGAGCAGAGGGAGGACCAGGACGAGGAGAAGGAGCATGACTAGGAGCAGGAGAACGAGAAGCGAAAGGAGCAAGATGACGAGGAGGATGGAGGCGGATCAGAAGGACGAGCACGATGAGGATGGGGACCAGGAAGAGTAGGAGTAGGAGGACCAGCAGGAAGATCAGGGCGAGCACGGGAAGGTGCGGAAGGAACAGGACAAGGAGGATGGGGAGGGCTGGAAGAGATCAGAGACCACATGTGGCCAGGAACATGATCAAACTCGCCGCGGCCTCGGGTGGCCTTATCGGCCTTGCTGAAGACTTCGGGGGGAACCCCGAATGAATTCTAGCAAGGTCGGCCTTACCCGGCATCGGGGCAGGGTCTGCCTAGCCGAGTCACGCGAGAAGCGACCGCAACGCGTTACTGCGTCTGCTCGCCTGCCCCAGCCCGATGTCGTACATCGGCCCGCCCTCCTTCTCGTCCTCCCCATCCTCGTCCTCCTCCTCGTCTTCCACTCCTCGTCCTCCTTCTGATCCCCCCTCATGCTTTCTCCCTGCTTCCTGCTCCATCTTCCTTCTTCATCACCCCTATCCTCCTCCTCCTCCTCCTCCTCCTCCTCCTCCTCCTCCTCCTTCCCATCTCCTCCTCTTCGTCCTTCATCTGCTGCTGCTGCTGCTGCTGCTGCTGCTTCTCCTCCTCCTCCTCACAATCTTCTCCTCGTCATCCTCCATCTGCGGCTGCTCCTCCTCCTCCTCCTCCTGCTTCTCGTCCTCGTCCCCGCTTTCGTCCCCTTGCTCCGCCTGCCGTTCCTCCTGCTGCTGCTGCTCCTCCTCCACCTCCTCCCAATCTCCTCCTCGTCGTCCTTCATCTCCGCGCGGCTCCCCGAAGCTCTTGGCCCTCAAGAGCTGAACCCCAGGGCGGTCTATGCACCTTCAGACCTTCAGACCTTCTCCTCCTCCTCCTGCTTCTCGTCCTCGTCTCCGCTTTCGTCTCCTTGCTCCGCCAACTCCTCCTCCTGCTGCTGCTGCTCCTCCCCCTCCGCCTTCTCCGCCACCGCCGTCGCCCCCCCTCCTCCGTCGTCCTCCCCCCTCACTCCTCACTTCTCCTCCTCCTCGTCCTCCTCCTCTTCCGCCTCGTCCTCACGTTCTACATCCCCACCCTTCGTCTAATCTTTGTTCTTCCTCCTGCTCCTCCTCATGCTCCTCCTCCTCCTCCTTCTCCTCCATCCGTTCTCCTTAAAGATAACCCCCCTTCGACGGACCCTGGGACTGAATCCTAGGCCGGGCTGGGCGTCGCCAGATACTTGCTTACAAGGTATCGCCCCGAACTCGACATTTGCAACAGTTGCACGGGTAGAGGGCGTCTGTTTGTCAGAATGAAGCTCCCGCCTTAGCGCCGCGCACATTCGTTTTCGACATTTGCAACAGCTACACGGATCGAGGGAACATGCTACTCACAATGACGTTCTTCTCGCCTCAACGCCTCGCGCACTCGTTCTCAACCTTTTTCAACAGTTGCACGGATCGATGGGGTCTGTTACCCAAAATGACGCTCAAGCGCCGCGCATATTCGTTGTCAGACATGGGCCGAAAGGGGCTGGTTACCCAAAAATGACGCTCTCGCGTCAGCACCGCGCACATTCGTGGGCATGATCGCCGCAATGGCCGAAATTACATCACCCTAGGTGTTGATCATGCATTCCTGTGCCACTTTAGCCAACTCTTGATGCTTTAACCTGTAGTCGCTGAGCGGATGCAGGGAGTTCGTTACTAGCAGCGCTTGCGCCAACTTTGCAGAAGGAAAGCATCACCTTCTCAAGCCGCATGTATCTCCCCAGCGTCGTGACATTCGATTTGGCTCGGAGCGTCCGTGAGAAGAGTCCGCGAAAGGGACCTATGAAGAGCGGACATGGGACAAGAAGGTGTATGGCAACACCGCTGGGCCAGAAAACAAACGGCACCACCCCTCCTACGGCCCCACGGGCCGTAGCGTATACCAAGACGTCTGGCGTGGGTTTTTGCATGGTATACGCTACGGCCCCCGATGGGCCGTAGCGCAACATGGAGGGCCGTAGGTAGGGTGGTGTCGTCTGTTTTTTGGGCGAACCGCTGATGCAACTTTAGTTCTCTCTGGTTCTCCTCCTCCTCCTCATCCTCCCTCTCTTTGCCCCACAAACGCACGCGCAACATGTCGCCAGTACGCTCGAAGGAAGCCAAGCCAAACGGGCGTAGGGCTCGCCTAGGGCAACTCGGCCCAGGGAAGCCGAGAGCAAAGGGCCGCGAGAGTCAGGATGCGACAGAGGGAGAGAGGAACCAACCGAGAAGAGCGAGAGAGAGAGAGAGAGCGGAAACAGAGCAGTGGTAGGGCACGCAACGCAGGAGACTAGGGAAACGAGGGAGCGGAGGGAGAAGGGGGCACGAGACAGCGGAGGAAGGACGAAGGGAACGAGCGGCGAACGTGCCGAATGAAAACATCCTCTTCCTCCTTTTTCTCTTCCCCCTGCTGCTGCTGCTGCTGCTGCTGCCCCCTCCGTGAAGCATCCTTCTCCTCCGCGCCCGCCTCCCTCTCAAAACCCTCTTCTCAACCTCCCTCTCCTCGTCGTCCTCCTCCTCCTCCTCCCCATCCACCCCTTCTCCGACTGCTCCTGCTCCTCTTCCACCTGCTCCTCCCGCATTGTTCACAGCCGCGGCCTTCTGATGCAGATTTCCATGCTTCAAACACCTGTTCTCAAGCGATGCTGAGAACAACAACAACAACAACAACAACAACAACAACAACAACAACAACAACAACAACAACAACAACAACAACAACAACAACAACAACAACAACCACAACCACAACCACAACCACAACCACAACCACAACAACAACAACAACAACAACAACAACAACAACACCAACACCAACACCAACACCAACAACGACAACGACGACGACGACGATGACGACGACGACGACGACAACTACGGTTCTTGCTTAACTTGATAAGGTAATTGGAGCGGTGTCCTGAGTTCTCGCCTGATCGCCTCCCGATAACCCCAAGAAGCCTCAAACCTGCCTCCACGAGGCCCCCGACGAGCCCTCCCCCCGAGATCCCAGTTGAAGCCCCTGGGAGCCTCGTGCCCACAACCCCAACCCGGGCACGGTGGCGGGATGGGCCGAAGGATACCGAACACAATGAGATGCCTCCTCCTCCTCCTCCTCCGCCTCCTCCTCCTCTGCAATTGGGTGATCGGAGCGGGGTCCCGAATTCTCGGCGGGTCGCCGCCCGTGGGCGCCTCGCGAGCAAACTGGCGACTCCGAGTGCTCGCCCGGTCGCCGCACGTGGGAGGCACCTGGTGGGCGCCTCGTGCGAGGGCTGTATTTCTGGAGCTTCTCCCAAAAGCATGTCGCACCATCTGTGTGCAGTGGGCGTCATCGAAGATCGTCAGGAGTTTCAAGGACTTGCTGCTTTGGGCCCGCTCCGGCCAAAACCTACGCACGTTGGACTGCGAGCGAAGCTCCCGTTGGAGATGCACGGGGGAACGTCTGGGGCTCTTGCCGCGCAACCGCAACCCAAACAAGCACTGTGCATCGCAAGCGCATGCTCAAACATGCGCTCTCGACGCATTCGCCAAATAATCCGTGCTGTGCTCCAAGAACTTATGCATACGCTATCAAGTATTCAAACACGAGAATGCGTGTGTGGGTAAAGGGGTACTACATTCAAATGTACGTGGTTGTATCCATGTATGGCAACGTGTCGCTTCTCTATATATCACCCATGCTGCTCTTCACCATGTTCACACCCTGCCCACATTTGCCACAATGCCTGGCGGCGCAACAATGTCACTGCAACGCAAGACCTCCACAAGTCCTGTAGCACCGTGCACGCACAGCGTGTCGCCCTCCCCTTGCTGTTACCGACCCGGATACCCAGTGAGCCGCCCTACTGCTGAAGGGCTTGAGCGTTCTATTCCACACAAACGGTACGTTGAACTGAGACCATGACAAGTCCTTGAAACAAATGCTCAAAAGGTGCGGCCAAATTCCTCACACCTGCGGCGTCGAAAGACTACGGCCGCTATAAGAACGATTCGCTTGCCGTTGCCAGCCATGCCAACTGCTTACTGCCACTCCATCCGTCCGAGCAAACTACTTCTCTTCACCAGCTTCTCGTACAATCAACCTTATTCGTAACGTCCACCGTGCATAATTCCCTCAGCCGTCCTCGTCCTGATACGGTCAAACTTGTACGATGCCGTGGGGGGTCGGGGGGGAGATGGCCAGTAGAATTACTTCTGGGATGCGTATGCATGCAAACAACATCATCCACAAGCTGCCGCTTACGCGCTCTCACAAGTCGTAATGAACCCTCTTCCGCCTCCAAAACTCGTCGCTGTTGCTCGTAAGAAGCCGGATGAGGACATGCGTGGATGATGGCCGCGCTCGTTGGAGTCGACAGTGCGAGGGGAGTGGCGAGGCTTTTGGCGACGAATAGCTTCAGTGGCACAAGCTGGAGTCGACTCCTCTGAATTTGGAGAAACTTGAGTGACGCCGCCCAAACGGCCGCGAACGAACTACAGTCGAAGCTCGGCCACAGGAACCATTCCACAAGACTTAGCCTCCAACCCCCATGGCGCCCGCCACTTTTGCATAGCAGCGTTGCGTCTTCCATCGAAACCTCGGGACCAAAGAAACCCAGGGTACGTAGCACCCCGCAGTTGCGGATAAGAGTGAGGGGGCGGGCGTGGGCAAGTGGGTCGCTGGCTTGGTTGCGCCTCCGTGGCCCATGTCGCGGATTGGTGCGGAGAGGACGACGACGACAACATGACACAGAACATACTCCGCCGCCCTGTTCTGGGTCGCGCAGAAGGCCGCGAGGAGGAGAAGGAGGAGGAGGGACACGACAACAACAACAACAACAACAACAACAACAACAACAATCATTTTACCCGAACGCGTGGTGTTCTCCCCAGTGCCAGGGTTTTCATACGACACCAGGCAATACCCCCACTTCGTGGGGGGGCATTACAAGCTCTACCAAATATCCAAACGACTCTTCGCGACCACCCAAACCCAGCTTCCCGCCCTATGACGTTGGGACACTTCACTTCGTGGCGTGCGGACGACCGTGGCTACTACACTGGCGTGGGGTACACACCCACAGAACTTGGTCACTTATTCGGGGCGCGCATGTGCCCAGCATGGTGCAATTGTGCCATACAATACATAATACAGAGAGACAGCAGGGTTGAGGACCTACGGTGCGATTCGTGTGATTTTATGATGCGCGGTGCTAAAATTCTTAAGAACCCAATGGTTTTTGGAGATTTCGGCGTGCGCGCGCGAAGAAAAAACGAATGTGTCCCGCATGGTATTATTTGACAGGGATGATGGCCCTGGCAGGTGCGCAACCGTTGTCGCAGAAGTTCGAAAAAGTTGCTCGCAAAAGCCCGTTTGACAGAAATGTTTAAAAAGTGTTGGGTTTCCTACGAATCCGCAAGAGCGCGCGGGATGAGATTTTGACATTTTTTTGTTGAAAAACCATTGGTTTTTTGATGTTTTTATGTTAAAATCGCTCCGAACACTAAGCTTTTGGAAGGATTTCGTCTTGCGCGCGCGAATGTCCACTTTACCTTATTTTTTGCAAGGGATTCTTGAAATTTGATTATATTAGAACAAGAAATGTCATTTTATAGTGTTTTTTGCAAGGGAAAGCGGATTACAACAAAACAACCGGATCTTGATCACATCGAATTACCTGAGGCTTCCTCACGAAAATGATGAAAATGTAGCTGCGGCCTAGGCGCGGCGGGGGGGGCGCGCACCAGGGGGCCCAACAATAATTATTCTTTAGAATTAATAATGTTCAACAACAACAACAAACAACAACAACAACAACAACAACAACAACAACAATAACAGCATCAAAAACAACAACAACAACAACAACAACAACAACAACAACAACAACAACAACAACAGCAACAACAACATCAACAACAACAACAACAACGATCAGTTTAAGACTGTTCGCCCTTGAATGCTCGAGTGTCCAATAACGCGTATTTCCCAAACCCTCGATACCCGCCCTCTTCGTCTTCGATCGAACCCCTTTTGGGGGGTATACCTTTCTTCCCTGCAGGCCGGGCCTCGGCAAGCGGCGGGGCGGCCGCGGACCGTCGGCCTGGCCAGCGGCAGCGCTGATCGGCGGGGCGGCCGCGGACCGTCGACCTGACCCCAAGAGGGACGGACAGGGGACCGACCACGACGACGACGACGACGACGACGACGACGACGACGACGACGACGACGACGTCGAAGACGACGGCGACGACGACGGCGACGACGAGCGAAAGCGAGAGCGAGAGAGAACGACAGCAGGGCCACGAAGGGCACGAAGTAGGCCACGAAGGGCGACAGCGGGGACACGAAGGGAATGCGTATGGGGCCACGAAGAGCGCGAACGAGCGGGGGCCACGAAGTGCAGATAATGCGGGGCCACAGAAGGCAACTATGCGGCCACTGAGGGTAGCAACTGGGCCACGTAGGACAATGAGGGGGACACAAATGGCGACAGCAGGGCCACGAAGGGCATGCACATGGGGCCACAACGGGCGCGACTCCTGGGTGCCTGGGTGTCGGGAGCGCGGCGCTTGGGCAAATTGTAAGAAATTCTAACGCAAGGCCATTCTTCACTAAGTTGCAAGCAAGTCTCTAGCGAAAGCGCGACTCCAGAGTGCCGGGAGAGCGATTCCTGGTTAACAGTATTAGCAGCATTTCTAGTTCGCACGCGCGGGGCGGCCCCTGGGGGTCCCCCGGCGAAAAGTACCCCGACCAACGCCCGGTCGCCGCCCGACCGCCGCCCGACCAAGTCTACTCAGAGATGGTTTTCCTTCTGGGTGCGGCCTCTCAGGCTCCCCAGAGCGCGCTCAGAGTGCCCCAAGAGGCCCCCAAGACTGCCCAAGAGGCCCCCGAGACGCCCAAAGAGCGCTCGAAGACGCCGAAGATGACCCCAAGACGGCCCAAAAGGCCCCCAAGACAGCCCAAGAGGCCTCCAAGACGCCCCAAGAGCCTTCCAAGAGGCCTCCGAAGAGAGCCCCAAGAGGCCAAAATCGTTGATTTTCATTTGTTTTTTCTATGTTTTTTGTGTTCTGGCTTTTTCGGCTTCCGGACGCTCCAAGACGGCCCAAGAGGCCCCCAAGACCGCTCCAAGACGGCCCACGAAGCTCCCAAGACGGCGCCGAAACGACCCAAGAGAGCCCTCAAGACGGCCCAAGTGCCGCCCAAGACGGACCAAGAGGCCCCAAGACGGGCCCAAGAGGGACTCAGGAGGGATACCGAGAACTCAAAAATGGAGCCCTCCGTCCCAGAAGGCGCCCAGGAGGTCCCAAAGAGGCCCCAAGAGGCCTCCAAGAGGCCCCAAGATGTCGCCAAGAGGCCCCAGGAGACTCTTCAAACATGTCTCCCAGGCGCCCCCGAACGGCCTCTCAACAGACCCCAAGAGGCCCCCCAAAGAAGCATCTTGACGACGACTCTATTTCGCCCCATCGAGAGACGACCCCCAGGGAACTGCTTCACCATCAAAACTCCCCACGCAACGCGTCCGAACGACACCCGCCCCCAAGAGCGCAACATGGGCAACGAACACACAGACAAAAACCAGCGATGCCATATCACGGGCCGGCGGAATGAGCGAAGCGATTCAATAAATTGCAAAGGAGTCCCAAGCGAGAGCGCGATTCCTGCATAAAATGCGAGGAAGTCTCGGGCGGGAGCGGGGGTCCTGGCTAAATTGTAAGGAAATCTCAGGCGGGAACCGTTGTTGTTGTAACCCGGGGGCCAGGGGCCCACTTTGAGCATCAAGACTTTCCCTGTCAAATTATCCCGGCAAAGCAACCTAACAGCCATGTGTAGGAGCATATCTGGCAGCATTCCCTCAGCCTGCATCAGCCTCAGCCTCAGCACGAAGCGACCCAGCTAGAAGGACAAAGCGCTGAATGTACACCGATGTGTTCGACGACTGCGTATGTAATGATGTGACGATATAGAGACTGAGCCCTTCGTGAATGTCTACATGTTTTTCTGACGCCTACAAACGGCGCTGACGTGTGTGAGAAAATTGTCCGCGCAGGAAAAGCCGGCGAAGCGTGCGGGAGCTCGCATGCTGAGACAGACTACGTCTGCAGACCGCCAGCTGCAAAAGCTTGCGAGCGGCTCTTGGAAGATGTTTACGGAACGGAGCTACGGAGCTCACCGCAGGAACTCGCATACTGAAAAGGAATGCATCGAAACCGCACGCTGCGAACCCTGCAGGCTGAGAAGCACCGCAGGATGTCGCATGCTGAAAAGCACTTGTACTGCAGAGCGCTAGCATTCCATCTCGGGCTCGGACCCCCCCGTCCTGATCCAGAACGTGTCCGCGACACGTGCAGGCTCACCGCGCACAGCTGCACACGAGCGCAGGCTGAGAAGCACCACGCGCATGCAGGCTGAGAAGCACCACGCGAATGCAGACGGACAGACTGAACAGGACCGCCACAACGCAACCTGCATCTCATGACTCCTCAAGCTCGCGCAGGCCATCCCAGTTGCTGTCGGGCCTTCGCGCAAGCGATCTTCGTCGCGGCAATCTTGTCCGTGAAGAGCTCGGCAAAGGCCTTGGCGATCTGTTCCGGGGGGCCGGATTCGATGATGTTCCGGTCAGGCAAGCCGTGGCTCAAGAGTTGGTTGAAGCTTCTGGGGCGCGACAGGCTGACGTAGTAGGCAAGCCAAATGGACTCCTTCTTGAGTCCAGGCGGAAACGTCCAGTGCACGATGAAGCCTGGGTCCGTCGTCTTGCCCTGGACGCCATGCAGAGTCCCCTGCTTTTTGGGCAGCACGGTCAACTGCGTCCTGGACACCG